AACACCAGTTGTTGTAACTTTATCAAGTTTTTGCACAATCGTCTCCAGTTGCTTCAAGGTGGGATCAATTTTGAGAGCACGTTTGCCAAATTTTATGAACGCTGCCGGGTCGGGTCCGGTCAACCCGGCAACCCGACCGGGTCGGGTCCGGGTTGAAATGTCCGACCCGTTTGTAAAAAACGGGTCGGGTTCGGGTTTACCCGTTTAGATATGGGTCGGGTCGGGTTCGACTCGAACTCTGCGGGTTGACCCGAATTGACACCCCTACAAGAAATTGTTCAACTTAAGATAGGCTACGTTTCCCCTACATAATATTCCAATTTTGATGTTTGTACAGGCAGATTTAGGGTCTTATTATGTGATTTTTTAAAAGTTTGATAAACTTTTCATCGTATGCCTTTTTATATGATTTTGAATAGACTAGTCTAAGCACATGGATGGTGAGAATACAAAATTTAATCGATTTGTTTAATTTCTATATTTTTCTTAAAGGGTTTTGTGATTACATTGACCTCTCTATAAGCCACACTAATACAGTAATTGCTTCAAAATGATCTTTTCCTATTTTTCCCAATAAAAGATTTTCTGAACTATTATTGTCGAGTATGTATGCAAACTATGTCTCACGAACTACTGAATTTATCATATATGTGTAAATTTTATATATTCCAATATCATCTTACATATTATGCTTACATGTTGGAAATATGACGTTTCGTTGTTCATGTGGTGAAAATGTCGAGAGAAATGAAGTATTGTATGTGGCAACTGTATTCTAGTAAGTGCATTACAAGGAGAGTTATAAGAGCATGTACACATGTATATGAATTTGAAGTGTTGTCTGTGATGACTATATTCGGTTGTGCATAATATATTGAGAGTTATAAGGGCTTGTACACATGTATTCTTCTATCTATCTGGAATTAATATTAAAATGACGAAGAGGAGTAATAAAAATGCTTGGGGACATATCTTGTAGCATATATTCCATGTGATTCATGTGGTACATGTTGCATTCATTCATGTTCTATTCTATTATGGTACAAGTAACCTCCTGTTCTATTTTTTCTTAGTGACAATAAAGTTCTATTCTATTTTGTGGCAAATAAAAATATATTTTGTTTTGTTCTAGCATTAAGTATTGGAGTTTCTCTATTATTGAAATTAGATATTAATGTTTACTTATTTTCACTCTAGTTACACATTTTTAATGTTTAAGTAGGCTTGTATAACTTAATTAAATGTGGAATATGAATTATTCAATAGATTGTGTAGCCTATTGAGCATGTGTACTCATATGTGGTAATGAATATCATAGTGAAGTTTAAAACTGATAGTTATCATGAGAAATATCACTTGACTTTCAAGACCAATTAAAGAGTTTAGTTTTATAGATACTTCAATAAAATTGGTGTCAAGCGCCCAATAATTTCTTATCTAGAGAATGAAGCTAGCATTGAGTGGCTCGCTCTTGCTTTTTTTTTTTAAATTGATATAACTCGATGATAATAATCATTTTAGAGATTTTCAAAAATCACCAAGATCGTATGCTCTGATCTTGTGACAAACTTAATTGGATATTTTTTAGGTACACAATAAATATGGTTCTTCGATGGGAGCATTTTTATACAAAGTACAAAAATTGTTTTTCCAAATGAATTGAAGAAGTAAAGGGGATGCTCCTGACTTTGTCTTAAAGCTTGATCATCCACCTCATTAGTCAATTTAAATTGTAAGTCCAAGGCGGTGATCTCAATGGTGAAGCTAATTTGCAAAACAAAACATATAGACATAAAGTTTGATGTTATGGGTACTAATTATTATAGCTTATGCACACAAAAAAAATTCAAAGAAACATAGTTAGCAACTTATGCTAAATATATATATAGATTTAAAAATGAGTATACATGGGAGGTTTTGGAAAAAAATCATGGGAGTTGCATTGTTATCTCCATTATTGAAGCTTAATAGTGATTGTAAAAAAAAAAAGTTCTTTGAAGGGAAAGAAAGATGTAGTGCAATGAAGGTATAGTTAATGTAAAATTAAAGGTCATAATCTAAGTTTCTTGTATGGTCAAGTGCGACCACCACCTCCATAATAGTTTATAATGTACACTTTTTTGTTATTTTAGGAACATTCATAGGTTATAGAATGATATAGTTTATATATTTTAGCTTTTATTTTACTCTCTTTTGTGATGTGTCATTATCATGTTTTATAGCTTTTAATTTTATTCTAAACTTTTGTGTGGTATAGATGCTACAATAGCTCTATGTTATGTTACACATTTTTATTTTATACTTGCATAAACAGTTATATCACCAACAGTTATAGATGACGGTATCTTATTCGAACAATGTTTGAATCTCCTTCAACCTATATTTTATCCATATTTGAACCATAATCTATCCATGTCCAATCATATTCTAAAGGATTTTGAATACAAGTTCGAACAGTGTTCAATTAACTTTCAAATTTTGTCCAAGTAAGGTTCCATTAAAAATTCGAACCATAAGATTCATAAATGATCCTAAACCTTACTTCTCTATGGTACAAACAAACATTGGTCAATTTTTTTTCTAAGCTTATTGGAACCAATGTTGGTCACAATGGATAATAAATACTATGTGGTTCAAAAGTTGGGGTACTTTGATCTGAAACAAAATTTCGGGCATACTAATTTTGTCAATCTTCGGAAATATAAAGTAAAATTTTCTTATATATATGCACAATAGGTTTAATGCAAATGAGAAATGTTTACTATCAATAATACATACTTATTTTCCATTAGATTAATTCGGTTGTGTTGCTTTTATAAGAATGAAGTGGTTGTTATAATGGATAAGAACGCGTTAAAATATATAAACTAAATCATCTAAATGCAATTAATGATGTGGAAAATAGACTATGATCAGGTTGTTGGGTTGAGTAGCTTTGGTGCCACTATATTATGATTATGACATAAGTCTGAATGTTCCTCAATGATATGCATTTGAACTTATAAAGAAGTTTTGTAGTACAAAAAATAAAAGTTTTATACTAGAAAGTTGTTTTAAGAAACAATAAGTCTGAATGTTCCTCAATGATATGCATTTGAGCTTATAAATGTGCTTTGATGTATTTAATAGATCATGAAGATTTTTTCATCCTAAATTGATATGAATTTGACAAATTAAGCAGCTTCCACCTCAAATTTATGAAGTCCTTTGGATAAAGTAACACATGATTAAAGCCTATATAATTCGTCTTAATTGAAATTTTTATCCCATATATGAGAAGTAATTTATTAATGCTCATGAAAAATCTTCGTACTAAGAAAATAAAATACTTGTCAGGCAAAGTAGTGTTTTATGATAGCTTAATTTGTGTTATAAAAAAAACCAATCATTCCTAAGATTTAGGCTTAGTTTACGACAGCTTTCTTATTGCTTCTTAAAGAAGTTTTGTAGTACACAAAATAAAACTTTTATACTAAAAAGTTGCTTTAAGAAACAATAAGAAAATCATCACAAATGAAGCCTTAGTCGAGCGACCTATTTAGATATCAAACATAATGTAGGCATCCATTTCAAAAAAAAAAAAACACCTTAATTTTGATATCAAATATAATGTGGGATATAAAAAATTTTAATTAATGAACTCGAAAAGAGATCAAATAATTTACAAAATTTCTTATGATACATTGCTTAAGTTAATTATTTTATTGAGCAATTCCATTAGTATCTTAATATTCTAACTATTGATGTATATAATTATAATAAGTTTACTGTTAGGTGCTCTAAGTAAATATATACAAAACTACTGTACTGCATCATAGAAAAACATTCTCAAATGGGACTTTCAACACATAACGACAATTTAAATTGTTATTATATAATAGCTCACTTATAACAATATATATTTAGGGACATGAAAGCAATAAATTTTATTAAAAAAACATAGAAAAACCAATATTCAGTTAATTGGGGATGGCCCAAATTTATTTTCCTTAAAAAAAATTTAACTACTAGTTAAATTTTTCTTCTAAATTATTATTGCTAATAATGGATCATGTTCAATCACGCCTAAGGCCATATAAAACTCCAGCGTATCTGTCGACTGATCCATGAAAAAAACGATCTTTCAACTTCCAGAAGACGGCAGCAGTGAGCAAACTATCTGATCCAGACTGGTGGCAGGTTCCGACTCTATTCACCCCAAGATCCTCTGCGACCTTGTTGAGCCCGCCATGGAGGTTGTTACAGAACTTCATCAAATGCTTGATGTCATAGAATTTAGGAAAATACAACCGCAGAGAGCGGTAGAAATCTGCATGATAGTCCGGTAGATTGCAGCAAGTTAATGTTTTGAGAAGAAATCCTAAGTCGAAGCAACTATGGAAAGTGATCCATTGAACGGAATCATTCTGCACGATGCCTGAAGAGATGATGAGTTCGGAAAAGCGATTGGCGGTGACGCCGAGGCGGTGATTCTTTTCTAAGTCCATGCCGCTGCGACGGAGAAGCTCGATCGAGTTGCGGTTGCAGATGTCGCCTACTGCGTTGAACTCGCGGAAATTGAACTGCCAAATGCAAGGGTGAGGGGGAGAGCCTAAGAGAGGTAGGTGGCCTGAAGAGTCAAAGAAGGTGAGGCCGAGTTGGACGAGTTTGAGAATGTTGACGTTGAGTTGGAGAGTCTGGTAATTGAATTCGGTTACTGAAGTCGGAGAATTGACGACGGGGATAACTGCAACGCCAGGGAACTCGGTGTCAATGGAGACGAAGGGATGGTCGGCGACAATAGAGCGGATGAGAAAAAGTTCCTCCTCCAGGTTAGAGTCCCATACCTCACGGATCTCAACAGAGTCGGCGGCGAAGTCGCCATTAAGGTTATTGAGGCTCCACATCGGGCACCGGTAGCAGCTAAACGGGGAAGGGATGTTTGGTTGCTGGATTTAAGAACAAAAATGGCAACTTTAATAAATAGATGAAGCACCCTCTCCTTTCATCCTTAAATTTGGGGCATTTGGCCATTTGGGCGAAAGTCTCTAACAAACTTATTAAGTAAAAATTATCTTGATCAGGCACGAATCTCAATGCAAAATGAAATTGGAAACTTCCGAAATTAAAATTGGGACCATCCGAACTCCGATTTCAGTGAACTTATATTCAAACTAAACATCTCGAGAATACGAACCCAACGACACCAAAACTAACTCATTCCAAGCCCAAATGGGTCCAAAACAAGGGTTAGAAGTGTTGTTGGAAGGTTCAAGCCACAATTTGGATTATCAAATGGTTTCCAAACATAACATGCTTATCGTCAAATTGAGAGGCTCGACGAGACAAATCCAACGGACCCAAGATCACCGAATTCCGACATCACTAAGACATTCAAATGTCCATCAAAAAGTCCTTGATCAAGGGATTCAACATCGGCCGTCCATCCAACCACTCCCTATTTATCCTTGACCTCTCACTTATTTACGGGCAATGCCACTAAAAAAATCTATAAATAGATCGCTCCTTTATCTTGAGATGGGGACCCAAGCCAAAGGATTCAAAGAGAGAGATCGGAGATTGCTCATGCCTCCTTGCTCCTCCTCGACCATCGCCTGACTTCCGCTGGACCACCGTCTGACGTCGTTGCTTCGTCGGACCACCACTTGAGGCCCTCACCTCCGCCGGAACACCACTTGAGTCCCTCACCTTTGCCGGACCACCACTTGACACCCTCACCTTTGTCGGACCACCACTTGAGGCCATCATCTTTGCCAAATCACCACCTGAGGCCCTCACCTTTGCTGGACTCCCACTTGAGGTCCTCACCTTCGTCGGACCCCCACTTGAAGCCCTTACCTCTGCCAGACCACCACTTAATGCCTTGAGCTCCACCGAACCACTGCCTGAGGCCCAAAGTTCTGTCAAACCACCACCTGAGGCTCGAAATTCTGTCAGACCACCAAGTCACTTCCAGACTACTAACTGACGCAAGATTTGACACTAGACTTCAATCATACAGTTGACATTTGTAATTTGATCGCCCTCAAGGACGCATCAGCCCACTGTACTCAACTCAAATTCTAGTGGAATCTTTTAAACTGGACTAGGCCCCGTTGTTGTTTCCTTTACAGGATTTTTCACGTAAAAAATCTTGTGTTCTCTATGTGTGAGCTGGATATCCGTGCAGCATTAAGACGTAGAATTAAAACTCTATCACCACATATATTTTAGCCCGCAACATATATATATATATATATATATATATATAATGGCATTACATTCAAGTTTGATCTCATTTGACTTGATGCTTGGACAATTTAAGGTGACGAAGAGTTAAAGTGGGTAATAAATCCAGATGCCATGATAAATAAATTTCATTGAAAGTGAAAAAAACATGCCTAAATATGTTATGTCGATTACACATTAAAAAAAAAAAAGTGTTTTTAAACCTTAAAAGCCAAGTAGTTAGCAAAGCCAAATATTTTTTAGATTAATAGCCGTAAATCATAACATAATTGCACTTTAGATGTTAGAATGAAAGACTACTAACACGCTCAATCATGGCTCATTAAATACATAATTAAATTGAAGAGTGTGAGATCTTAAACTAATTAATTTAAAGCCAAAACTATCATGCCAAATATGAAGAGAGATAAAGATATTGACTTTTCTTATAAGAGGCTCGACGGTATCACGAGCAAGCAATCATGTATATAAGAGGGTCATCTAAAGCATTATTTTATAATTATCATTTTATTTATACATGTTATATATATATATGAAAAAATTCATGGACATTATTTGATATGCAACTTGATAATGAATGATGTTTGGAGTAAATATATAATTCTTTTTGGGTGTTTACATTCAAAGTTTCAAGTCAACATGTCACCAAGCATTACTTGTGGATGAATTCTTTTTGAATAAATGATGTGGAAGCACTTTGCTTATAGTAGTTACATCCAGTTATACTAATCATATCGAAATGATAAAATAAAATTAGAGAGAGAAAAGAAGGATTCTAGATTGAGAATATCTATGATTTTAATAAATATAAAAAATACAAAAATTTAGGTCTCCCTTCATCCCCCAATTTATAGGTTTGGGCTTGAGTGTTTTAGAATTGGCCACATATTTGACTATACTTTTAGTGTTATAGAATTTGTTATATAGTTGTGTAGCCTGGTTTGAATTTTTGATTTAATAAAGTTATTCATCAATCTCCTAAGAATTCAAAGGTGCTATATAAAAAGAGATGGCTTTCCTACTGCTTCTTAAAGAAACTCTCAAATAAAAAAAAATGCATCAAAAAGTTGTTTTAAGAAACAGTAAAAAAGTCGTCCCAAACGAATACTTAGTCGGCGACATATTTAGATATCATACATAATGTAGGGCATGCATTTCAAATAATACAACTTAATTTTGATATCAAATATAATGCAGGATATAAACAATTTTAATTAATGAACTTGCAAAGAGATCAAATAATTTGCAATTTTTTTTTTTTAAATACATTACTTAAGTTAATTATTTTATTGAGCAATTCCCTTATAATTGTAATAAGTTTATTCTTAGCTGCTCTAGATATGTAGATACAAAACTTTTGTACTACAAAAGCTATTAAAAATTAATATTTTTGTAGCATTTAGTAGCCGATAGCGA